CCCTTTTCTGCTCAGCCACACATTTCCTCATCCTATTCTTATGCAGTTGATTTCCAGACCTAAATACAATAATCTGTATTCTCATTAAATTTCCCTTTCAATCCTTTCAACTCCTGCTTCCAGCATTCATTAGATCGTCTAACCCTCTTATCTTTGCACCGAGCTGGAAATTTCATAAACATCCAAATCAGTATATTTTACTTTTTAACCAATGTTTCCTTATATTATGTACAAAAATTTCACTACCTTATGTACCCTTTTATGGAAGATGCCTCTCCAGCTGGGTCCAGTTATAAGTTTCTAATATGAAGTAGAATTGATATTGTTTATGCATCCCCACTGGAAGAGAGGCTTTTGTAAACTTTCCTACTGTTGTCTAAATCATGTACAACTTTAATTTCTCAAATAGAATTATTTTATAACATTAAATAAGTTTTTGTCAATATAGCACCCAAAATTGTGCCAAATATACCACACTAACATGTTAATAATAAGGGAAACCATGTGTCAGGGAAATATGGAAACTCTATTATCTTTGTAACTTTTCTGTAAATCTAAACTATTCTAAAATAAAAAGTTTATTTTTATTTAAAAAAAACTCCATAAAATTCTGATGTGAACCTCTAGCCCTAACTTCACACTCAAACCCAATTATATTTGAGAATTAGTGATACATATCAGACAAAAACTAGGTCTCTGGTACGTCGCTAGAGCATTTTTCCAGGAAGTGACAGTGTTTATAGGTTAGCACTGAAGTTAAACAAGCCTGGTATCAATTTCTGGCTCCTCCACTATCTAGTTGTATGATTTGGGGTGGTTAACTAATCTTTCTGAACCTTGTTACCCAAGAATTAAAGATAACTCTTGAAGATTAAATAAGCTAATTACATAAAGCAGTTAATACAGTGCCTGCTACATAGTAAAATAATGATTAATACCGTCGTTCCTAATGTTTCATCCTGAATGAAAAATAAACTTAACTCTATCATCACCTAGCCCAATTTTCAGATCTTGTCCATGTGAATAGCATGGCTGGCTTTGTTGAATCATGATACAAAGACTTCCTCTTCCCTCTCATTTCGGACAATGAAAAGGACTCCAGTGATTCTTGTATCAGACAGGTTTGAGGGGAAAAGGCTGGGTATGGACAGAACCCAAGTTAAAGTTCTGCCTCTCTCCTTTACCTCCATGACCTGAGGAAAGTCATTTAGCACCCTGAGAATTTTATCATCTGTATAAATAATGGCAAAATAATAGCTGCCCCAGTCCCCCAGTATCTTGGTGAAGATCACACGAAATAACATAAGTCCATTAAGTTGCTTTGAAATATTGAAATCATCAATAGATTTAATATGGACTATGCCTAATAATCACTATTATTTGTTAGTAATCTTTATTTTTTCCAACTAATCATTTCTTTCTGTTCCCTCCCAACTACTCACACAAAAAATGGGCTTAGAAATGTCATAGAATTTTACTGAAGATCACAGCAAGCCTATAATTCTAGAGTTACTATAATACATAATCTCCTCTTTTAAAAGAGTATTAAAATTTTGCCAAGCCCTAGCTTTACAGCACTTCCTTTTTTTCCCAATATTCCTCACTTGGACCACATTTGCAGCTTTTCTGATTTTCAAGATATCTCATTGAACAAAATTGGGTGCCTGCAATTCATCTGAGCAGTTCAGGAGTTATAATCCACTTTGCCTTACATTCTTACTTAGAGTTCAATTGCTCTTTTCATGTGTGCTAAGCAGAAGGTGCCCTTCTGTGGGGGTGAGGTAGACTTGAATTTGATACCAGCTTGGCTCACAAATACTTGAAAATAAAGAAAACAATATAAACACTGTAGGGATGACATCGAAGTTAAATATCATCTTGGTGATAACAACAGATAATGTTCATTGAACCCATATTTTTTATTAAGTTATTTACATACATTATTTCGGTAAACCTTGAAATAAGAAGTGGGACTCAAGATTATTTGCTATCCATTAATCAAAATATCAATTTTGAGACATCCACTCCTTGCATTATCTCTTACTTTTCTCTTAGAGTAAAAGTAAGAGTTATTAGTACAGTTTTCAAACTTTTATTTTATCAGTAACTCTTTCTATTTATATTTAGGCTCCCCTAAGTAACCTCACTATAGTTACTAACTTATCTTAAATTTACATTTAAATTTAATGGTAGAGATCTTTGCTAAATTTATATAACATTTTAGTGAGGTTAGAATAAGCAGGATTCCTCTAATAAGTTACATAAGTATATAAAGTTACATTTTTCTTTAAGAGAAAGGTAGACTGGTTTTAAATAAATATTTTTGAGAGCATTGGATAAAAGCATAAATCCATTACAACCACTAACAACAGATGATTGCTTTGAGCTTGATATTTAAAAGCCTAATCTATGTTACACATTTTAACTTTTGCTGACATTAGGTGTATATTGATGTCAGAGGAAATTCGATACGTTTGAGGCTTACAGGATTGGCTAGAAACATCAGTAAGATATGCACAATGATTTGCATCACCTGTACCCCATTGGGCACTGTTTTCTTATCCACTCTAGAGAAATCATTTGTGTTTAGGAACAAAACACCTTTTCTATGGCATTTTAACTTTCCTTTTCAACCTTGCTGTTTAATAAATGTATGCTGATACGCAATATCTCCGTAAAAAAATCTCCTGTCCCTCTCCTGTACTAATAACAAAATTCTCTGTCTTGGTTTAAAAAACAACAACAAAAAACAGCATTCATTTCATCCTTGTGATTTTTTTTTACAATAATAAAAATTAAAGTCATCTCTTTAAAAAGAAATTATAATACTTTCAACAATAAAAAAATTTTAAAAAGAGAAATTGTACTTAGAATACATAGAACTCTTCCCTAAGGAAATAATAATAAGAAGCACATACACTCATACTATGCAGTACACTGCAAATACTTAATTCCATAAATTTTTGCCTATTGTACATATAGTTCAAGCTCTTTTTTGATATACAGAAATACAGTTGAGCTATGACGAGATGCAGAGGTCATCTGTTGTGTTACTGAGTCATAAGTTTGCTCCACTCTGCATAAAAGTTTATCTCGTGAAAGTAAAAATACACCCTATTTTCTACAAGATTAAATTCTCATAATGAATGTCTGCTGGTAACCGAGGTTGTGAAAAACAGAGGTCCACTTTCCAGATGAAGGAAGGCATTGCCTTTATCTAGGTGGATCCTCACTCATGTGGGATTGTTGTTCATTTGGTGAAGGTCCGTGAGCTGTAAATTTGAGTCCTCCAAGGATGAAAATCTCTAGTGCTAGCTATGGACTTGAATGGACCCAAATTATAACCCTGGAACCTGCCATCTCTTCTGATCAAATACATTTAAACTTTCCTCTTTTGATATTATACTTTTAAAATGATCCTTTCAATAACGAGAAGCTGAATAAAAAGGGTTGATGAGTCTCAACTACATTCTTATGAGTAATAACTGTCTACGAATACAAACACCTATTCCTTGAAGTTTATTTGCTTTACTTTTCAGTATACATAATCTGATTCACAAAATGCAATTGAATATGTGGGAAATGCAACCTTGATCTTCACAGAACCACAAATCTTCTATTCATAAAATACTGTGTATCCATGTGAAGGCAACTGTCTAGAACTGTACACAAATTTTGTGCATTTCTTCCCCATTAATTCTCAAAAGAAAAATAAAATAATATTTGAATTTTAATAATGTGGAATTATTTTCTTTCACGAAGCAAATTCAAAATATCTTTGATAATATATGCTCCAAACAGCAAACTGTAAGGTGACATATTTTTCCTAATTGACTGAACAAGCTAGTCACTGTCAATTCAAGGCCAGCTTCCGGCTATTGCCTCTGATGGGTTTTATCCTAACCAGTGGGAACCAACTGGCAGTCAAGACCTATAGGGCCTGTACATGCACAAGATCCCACCAAAAAACCTGGAACATATTTAAAAGATAAAAAATTGAGGCCAACATGGGTTAAAATACTTGCCTACATTGTCAAATGAGTGAAGCAACAGAGAAATATAAAGACTTACTCTTCCATTTGTCCAGAGGGACTTGGACTATTGTATAGTAAATGATACCATAGGATGAAATATCAATACAGAAGGGACAGAGGATAACTCATCGATATAGAATTTAACTTTGGGAATTAAAGTTCATCACATAATCATAGTGGTCTTATCAAAACTAGTGAAGTAGAATGCAATCCACTGCTGTCAAAAGTTCACGTCACCAGTACACAGATATATGTAGAAACAGAAAAACACCTTAGTCACTCCTGACCTCAAATGTGTTTAACACAGAGACCATGCATATCTCATAAGTCAGTGAATGTTTTATAAAATATTGACATTTCACAGGAAGTAATTTGTAGTTTTTTCTTTTCCCTCGCTCTCTCCCTTCCTTTTTTTTTCCTTTTTCACCCCCAAGTGTGTTTAAATCATAAACTTTTCAGTGGAAATCACTTGTACTACATTTTTGAGAATCATGTACTCCAAGCTGTATAAAACATCCTAATTGCTGCATGAAAATATAGACACCATTTTAGGGTAGAATAAATATGTTTCGTACATAAGTTGCATTCCTGAAATACCTTCTTTTTTCAAGCTCTAAATACCTTTCTTGACAAGATAGAGCAGCAGTGTTTGGAAAGCATTAGCATGTCAACAGATGCTCAGAATCAAATGACTTAATAGGCAGAAACTATTTTTTTCCAAATAATTGCAAAGCTTTGGTCTAGCCTTTTGCATACCTTGCATAGTTAATTACCTAGGCCTTAATGTTTACATGCAATGAGAGTATCTACAACTATAAACTACATAATTTATAATTGATGTAAATGGGTGTTATTATGTCAATTAGACAGCTGTGTCCTCCACCTCTTGGTAAACAGCTTTGAGTGATAAACTGAGTTAGCAGAGAAGTAACCTTCTTTTCTTCATAACAGATAAAAATAAATTACCTAGGTAGACCAGGCTGTCCAATTGTTCTCTGGTGATGTAGATGGAAAATCCAGACCCTTGCTTTTGACCTGTTGACTGCAGCAAATGGTCAATTTCGTCACGCAGCACTGCCATAGCTTCTGGGTGCCGTAGAAGGTAATAGATTGTCCAGAACATAGTTGGAATAGTGTTTGCCACAGAGGCCCAGAGAAAGCCTAAATGATGTGCTGGGAGAAAATAAGTGAAAAGGAAGATTAATAGCGTTTATTACACTGATTAGATTTGCAGTGTGCTAATTAAAAGATGTTAGGACACAGACCCAGCCAAGGATCAGTGCATGCTAATGAGGACCAATAGGCTTCTGAAGTCTAATTTTCTGCTTAATGAGAATAGTTTAAAATGTAATGTGTGTGGGGGGGTTGGGGGCAGGGAGATGGGGGAATGAGATAAGAGGAGTAATGCAGCTTGGCTATACTCTTTCTCATCATCACCATTAAGTATCTTGTTTTACCACCTCAGCAAAAAAAAAAAAAAAAAAAAAAAAATCAATTATCACAGAGGGTTGTTTCAGAGTAAAACATTTTATCATTAGCCAATTAGAGCGAGCATAAAATTTTTCAAGGTCGCCATTTTGTCTTTTTATTTCAAAGGTCTATTGTAAATTATTCTATTTTAGACAAGTAATCATTCAGAAGTTTCTTACCTCCTATTTCAATGTCCTTGAGCGTATAGTATTTCTCCAGGATATCTTGCCTCATTTGAACAACTTCTGACCATCCTTGTATGTTCGCTAAGTTTTCTGATGTCAAGTGTTTTATAAGTTTCTTTTGAATAGACTTGGCATTTCCTAGAAGCTCAATGGGTATATCTGATAGTAAATATATGAATTTGGCATCAAATTTAAAAAAATCATCTTTAAGTTCAGTAATAAATTCTTTCCTATCACCAGCAACAGATTTTCCATATATGGTTGCAAATGTGGTCTCAAATATTACTGAGCTGCAGAATGTCAACAGGTATGCCATGTCCCAATTTGTGGTTTTAAAGAGTTTGGGTTCAAAAACTTGTTGTAGGTTCTGCGTCATGTTTTCCATGAGTAGGTCCAAAGATTTCCCTTGTAAAAGTTTGTAGCAGTCATGAAGCTCGTTGTTCAGTTCATCATCGGTCATCAACTTTTGGATGGCAAATGCTTTCTTTAATATATTCTTACTAAACATTTGAAAGCTTAATTTCTGATTTTTCATCACTGACTGGTACTGGTAAGGGTCCAGAATAAATGTTATGTACTTTCCTAAAAGAAATGAGAATATGAGCTCATTTGTTAGCAAAACAAACAGCCCCCCACTCCAAACTTTGACAATATTTTAATGAAAATTAGATCTTAGTAACTAACATCTAGAAACGTGCAAAGGTTAATAAAAATCCATTTCATCCAAAGGTCCACTACATGTTTCCTTTTAAAATGGAAGATAGTGGGAAAAACTCTAGAAACTTGAAGTTAAATATTCTGAAATTCTTAATGAATTAATAAAACACAGTATAAGCCCTGGCCAGGTAACTCAGTTGGTTAGAGCACTGCCCCCATACTATCAAGGTTACAGGTTTGATCCCTTGTCAGGGCACATACAAGAATCAACCAACGAATGCATAGATGGGTGGAACAACAAATCAATATTTCTCTCTCTCTCTCCCCCTTCCTTTCTCTCTGTAAAAATCAATTAAAAATGTTTAAGGTAGTGTACACATCAAATTTTTATTTTAACTAAGTACCCAAATATTTAAATTATCCTTTAAATATACTCAGAATCCCTTGACTTAAACACTTCTCATATTTTTCTCTCCAATAACATAAATAACAAAAATATCAAATTGGTAAGATGACATTCCCTTATGGATTTTTTATTTATACTTCATCAAGAGCTTTTTCATACTTGGTATCATCCTAGCTTTGGCTGGATACAATAATTTTAACTCAAATAAATGAAGATGTGGTATGAAGCAGGTACTCATAGATGAATTCCTAATTCAACACTAACAACAAAATCACAAAAGGCCAGTATTTTCATTTTTATAGATGAGAAAATAGTGGCTCACAAAGATTTAGTAACATGTCCAAGGTCACATACTGAAGCAGAATGTCAAATTAGAATTCATTCTTTCATTCATTCATTTATATTTATTCAACTTTTATTGAAATCAAGACATTTGTTTGGATCTTGTTCCTCTTGAGGTATAAAGATGTAAAGAAAACATTGTATTATGTGGATGGATAGTGATACAGCAGATGTGTATCTGAGGCAGAAAGTGGAATCTGCTTCAGTCTGCTTTCAGAAGTTATTAGAAATGGTTCTTTGAGGTGGTGACATTTGGTCTTTTCATACATTAGTGTTGTCCAACCTTACTAATTAAAAGATTTAAGGTTCTGGTCAAATTTACAATTCCTGATTCTGATTCATGAAGCTTAGAGTACCTAATACTGTTTTAAGACTCCTTGTAATTATATGTAATATGCAGATAGTATTAAATAATAGCATTTAATAAGTTTTTCCTTCCCAAGAACACACATGAAGTGTAGATGCTCCTATATACTTTGATACCTATTTATTGTCTTCTAGAAAAACAATAAATAATTAGACCGTGAAGAATGGAGGATCATCTACACTTTCCTCTTAAACTCATCATTCCTCTGTGTGTGTGCAGGTATGTTTGTGTAGCTTTCTAAGATAAATGACTTCTCACTTACTATTTATGGTAACTCCAACAGCATCACAGAACTTAAATTTAATTTGGTAAAGATTTAGGATAAAGTTTTGAATAATTTTCAACCTAATCCTGGCACAGGCTTGGAAGCAGAGAGGGGGAGAAGAGGGCAATGGGGGGAAAAAGGGGACATATGTAATACTTTCAACAATAAAGATATATAAAAAATATCATTTATCTCAATGTTAAATATATGATCTAGTTTGCATTTTAAAAAAGATTAATGTTTTCTCTTTGTTGTACAATTTTAAAGCATTATTTAAGTTTTTGATATACATGGAGATACATGAGCTATTATTTTTTTCTAAAAATGAATCATATGATTTAAATTTTATTTCCTCTATTTCCTCTTAATTTACTTAATAAGGAGGGGCCAATCTAAGAATGAGAGTAAAGCTAGAAATGACTACTCATTCTTGTCAGATCCCAAAGCTACAACTACAAAATCAACTCAATTGTTTTTCCCCCTGGGGGAGGAAAAAGGACTCAACTGGATTTGGGCATATTTTATTACACCTGCCTTATACCATAGCTGCTTAATTAAATAAAATTGCCAGCATCTGCCTGATGAATAATTGAAAAGAAAATCAATTCTCTTATTTTGTAAAAGACACAATTTTAGGCAAAGCTGTGTATTTTCACAGGTGGTGATTCATACTTTTCTCCTTTCACTAAATGAAATAATTTTACTAAATATCTTTAGGGTTATTTTAAATTTGTCACTAAAGTTCAGAGAATGTATGAAAGATTCAGTTTGTAATACACACAATTATCAGAGTATATTTTGAACTTTTCTATAAATTTTCCACAATCATCAAAATCTAAGTGGAAAGACAAAACTCTGTTCAGCTATGAGAGCATGAGCTACTGGCTGCTGGCCTACTTAAGTACAGGCTGTGTGCAGGGTAGAGTTTTTGTCTATAATTCATCACAAATACATATTTATCCCCTCTCTTTTTCTTTCTATATCTCTCTTTGGGGGTGAGGAGATGGGGAGAAACTGTAACATTAATTTCAAATAAAATTAATAAAGGCTAAATGTGTAAAAGCATTCTGGTTAACAATCAATTATTATTTTTTTTAAATAAGCAGTTGTTGTATATAGTCTCTGATGTAAAAATCATTACTGATCAGTTTAAAGCAATTTGTAGATAAAATTCTCACTGTTTTCAAGCCTCTTTACATTCTAGGATCTGTATTTTTCTCTTTCTCGTTCTTATTTTAATTTTCTTCCATATCAAGGCATTGTGTTTTATCTATATCCCTGAGTAAGATGTGGATTTCTTTAAAAGTGGACGTTTTGATTTTCTGGATTTTACTCTTCAACTGGGTTTGGAAGTACTAGTAACCCTGGAGATGTTAGCTGGCTTTCCAACTTTTAATCTTCAGTATAAACAATTTAAGCTAAGTTTTCCAAAATTAATATTAATTTAAACCATCTGTCCACCATCTGCTAATGTGAGATGCAAAACCAGAGTTTCTTTGTAATCTTTAACAGACAGTTAGGAAAACACATATACATTCATAAAATAAATTTAAATTTCTTAACAAAGGGAACCTGAAAAGTTATTTCGAAGGCCATGGATTCTTGGAGCAAAATTAACTTTTCCTCTAGTGTAATTTCATGTAAATGAATGCCATGTGTCAACAAGCAAGTTGCCTAGTTCACAAAGATCACAAGGTAGAAACAATATCCTTTGCCATGTTTTTCAAAAAGAAAAGAATGGTGTCTAAATATCAATGTCAAAATGAAGCTCACTTTTACAATATATATATCATATACATATGATACACATATACATATGATATACATATACATATATGTATATTTTAAATAGGGTAAAAAATTTGAATGTTTTCTTTACTGATAATTTCATTATGTTCCCTTTTTAGGAGCTGCCTGGGTCTCAAGGTATCAACTCCAGCATTCCCATATAACCTGTGTGGGATCCTTTCCTAACTCAACAGTCTTTTCACTTTCTTCAAATTTAGTTCTTTCAGGAAGATGAAACTACATGATGCAAAGTATGTCAGCAAATGCCAAAAAACAAATAAGGTCACTCACACTGATATCTTATATACACAGGAAGTTTGACATCTGGATCATCATAAATTGAGTTTTGATGTTTTATCTCAGATATTTGGTGCTTTACAGAGACATATCCATGGGAATTCAGGACAATTATTTGACTATTTGAAATAGAAATGCTCAGTCAACAAATCTGACTTTAAAATCTGGATTTTAAATAAGTTTTCCATAATTACAAGCTTTTAATCTCCATCTTTAGCTTGTTCTTCAATATATTTTTTTTAAAATCTCAAGTTGTAAATATTAGTTGGAGGAGTGGATTAGAAACCAACTTTTTGTTGTATGAGGCTGACCACATTATTCTTCAATAGATTTTAAAAAAAATCTCAAGTTGTAAATATTAGTTGGAGTGGAATAGAAACCAACTTTTTGTTGTATGAGGCTGACCACATTACATACTCCTCCTCTTATTAGAGAGATTTCACTAGCTGTTGACAATGACGTACAGGGCTGCTTCGCTGGGGTGACATCTAGGGAAAATGATTCTGCTGCACCACCACACAGAACCAATTAGAGAACTATTTTCTGCGACAGGCCACGAATTTACGTGGTTTCTCATGAAAAGATGTATCTTTTAATTTCTTTATTAAGATGACATCCATGTCCCTTGAGACTTTTTGGGATGACAATCATTTGCTCATCATACAAGAACATTACTCACTGAAATCACATTATGGGACAACTGTGGAAGACTGCTCCTCATTTCACATTTTCCAAATGAGCTATTTGGCAAACTGATTATTAAAATCATATACATTAATAGGATATCTTGGCAGGAATTTATTCAAACCCTAGTAAGAAGGCAAAGAGAAATAGCAGTACGTATTCAACTATGGTTGTCTACTATTGAGCTAGAAAACATAACCATGGTCAAATTATTTAGATGGTAGAAATTCAGCAAGCTTCTCAGTACGTATCTAAAACTAAGATACCAAGTGTCGGCAGACATCGGTTGCTTTGTGAAAAGTGAATACAATTATTTAAATCTGCCACAAGTTTCTGCTTAATTACCTAAGGTTATTTCTGTATAATTCACTTAAAAAAGAAAAGTAAAAATTTCAATGATGTGTTGTAGCTACTCATTAGAACATACGGTTGAATTTTTTTTGAAGTGAAGAATACAGTTTTGTATTATGAAGCCAAAAGCTCACTTAGAGTAGAAGAACCAGCTATGGCCTTTAATTGTATTCTGGTAAGTATTTCATCAGCTCTGAGGTATTGGGAAATTCCTCATCAATTATGTATTATGAATCAATCCATGCTGAGCTCTGGATTAAAAGTTGGCAATGAAGAAGCTAGAGAATAATGAAAGGAAATAGACAACTGAATTGGCTATACAGTCACAATTTATTAAATGCTATTGGAGAAGTGATATGGGAGTAACTGGAGACTGGGGAAGAAGCATCAACATAACATGGAAAGGGGCAATGGCCAGTGAAGGCTTTGGGGAGGAAGTGATATGTGACTATGGCCTCAGAGGATGAGTCCATGGCAGCCATCTTTTGAGGATGCCTCACAAAGAGAAGAACGGCATTCTGGCAGAATAAACAGCAAAGAGGCACCAAAGGGCATGGTGTATGAAGGGGAAATTTCAAACCACTTGGTGCTTTGATGGTACATTAAGCACAAGGCAAGCAGTAGCAAGAGATGAGGCTGGAGAGGTAGGTGGATCCCAGACTTTGGGAACCCTTGCAAGGATATGTTTATATATTATAATTTCTCTTTTTCTAAGATGCATGTGTTTTTTTTTCACTTCAATTTTTCTGAAATCAGAGTGCATACAATTACTTTCGGAAGAGACTCGCCAGCTGCTGGGTAAAGGAGGCAGTTGTGATGAAATGGATACTGCCTGCTCGCTCGTGTGAGAACTCAACCATGCTGACAATTTTATCCAGTTGGACCATTTTTCCTCCCAATTACATTAAAATGGTAGCGATGCAGTGAAGTTGCTCTATGTACAAAAGGTTGCTTCTGATACTCAGCTAAGTAATTACAGTAAGAAGAAATGACCTAAATAGAGCATACAATATAGGTAATTCTTGAAAAATCTGGATGCTAAAAAGAAAAAAAAAAAAGAAATGAAAAGTAACTAGCCAGAGAACATAGGAGAAGCTCAATTAAGCATGGTTATAAGCTAAGGATAAGGACCCAAGAGAGAAAAAAATGAAGACACATGTATGGGAGGAATAAATAATGAAATGCCCGCCCAGAGAAAGCAGGAAGTAAGGGTCACGAAGACAAGGCCCTGGATTGTCTTGAACATTCTTTGAAATTGGAGAAGAGGTGTTAGGAACTGAGAGACATGGTGCGTTTGGTAGGCATGTGGAGATCTGCGTGAGGTCATACCTGATGTCTTCCATTTCCTTAGGAAGGAGAGTGAGCTGTGTACCAGAGCCCAGGGAGAGATGGGGCGCTGGAACACACCTGCCTTCTCACTCGCACACCCAACCAGAAGTCAGAGGGCAAAGGCGTGTGGAGAATCTAGACTGTAGAGCTCAGCCTTCTGGAGCATAGACAGGACAGACAGAAGTCCGCAAACGGAATAGCCAGCCCAGGCGATAAGCTGATGTGGAAGACCGTGCAAAGATGGCCACAACAAATTCCTGCTAACTCTCTACATTGTGCTCTTTTGCAATGTGACTGCCACTCAGCCGAGGGAGAGGTGGAGTCTAATTCCCTACCTATGAGTCTGGGCTGACCTGCGACTTGATCTGACTGATGGAATGTGGTGGGAGTGAGGTTTTGTAACATCAAGAGGCCTTGCAGCATTTCCCCGTACCCTCTTGAAACACTAGCTGACATGCAGTAAGGGTGTCTGCTTGAGGATGAAACAGCCTGTGGACAAAGAGGTCCAGGCAGGCACGTAAAGAAAGCCAGCATGGACCATCTAGCCCCAGTCAAGCAACCACGACTCAAGCCACACAAGTGACTCCAGCAAGGTTGCTGCATGGCATTCAATCTGTGGGGAGTTTGTTAGGCAGCAATAGATAGCGATGCATCTGGACTGCAGGGGCCTTAAAGGAGGATTAACTAAGAATATTCTAGCTTGTCTTCTTAGCCCTATGAGGTTGGGGTATGTAGTAACCTTGCTGTGTTTTTTGTATCTTGTTTTGTAAATACTTTATAAAAGTAGAAGGATAACGAACCTTTTCAAGTTAAAAATACATTCTAGATCAGTGGTTGCTAGGGGGTCAGGGAGGGGAAGAGGAACGAATAAGTGGAATATGGGGGATTTTAGGGCAGTGAAAACTATTCTGTGGGATACTGTAATGATGGATACATGACATTATGCATTTGTCAAACATTAAAGAACTTGTACATCACAAAGAGTGAACCCTAATGTAAACCAGGGATGTTTAATAATGTATCAACATTGACTCATCAGTTGTAAGAAATGCTGATATAAAATGTTAATAATATTGGGATGGGGTGTTGGTGCAGGCTAGAAAGGGTCAATGGGGGAAAAGGGGGAGATATATAATACTTGCAACAATAAATATATTTTTTAAAAGAGAAAGTTTGATCTCTTCAAAAATAAAGTGGAATTATATTGTAAAAAATAAGATGTTAATAATAGGGGAAACTATGATCAGGGGGGAAAAAGGGATATGAGAACTCTCAGTACTATCTGATAAATTTTCTGTAAACCTAAAACTGATCTACAAAATAAAGTCCATTAATATATTGTAGCTTTTTAAAAAATATATTTTTATTGTTGACAGTATTACAGATATTTCCCATCCCCTGCTTTATCCTCCCCTCCCAGCCCCTACCCATCCACCCAGGTCTTCACTACCCTATTGCCCATGTCCATAGGCCATGCATATATATTGTAGCTTTTTAAAAACCATTCTTAAAACCAAGCCAAACCAAACTATAATGACAGGTGTTGGCAGGAGAGTGGGGTTCCCTAGGTACCCTCAAGAGTGTTCTATAATTTGTTTTTTAATGTGAGGATTACTATACTCAAGACCATAGTTTCCTTTTGTATTGGCTCTACAAATAAAACAATACTGTACATAATTTGCCTAGAGAAAAATATAAGGACATTAAAGAACAAGGGAGAATTTATGATACATGAAGTGCTGTTTACCTCCAAGGAGAAGAGTGAACGTGTCACCATGTTGATTTTGAAGAGTTCTCATGAAACCTATGGGATCTTTTTGTAATTTCAGGGCCAGTCCAAAGTAAGGAAGCCAGCCTTTTAGCAATGGAGGCTCACCAGGTCTCCTGTAAGAAAAAAAAAAGAAGTTAAATTAAATCATTCTTATTTTAATGCATGTGTGTTATCAATGCAGTCTAGAAGTGGATTGAATGAATTGCACAGCTTCTTTCCATTTTTTTATTTAATGATTCCTATATAGTCATAGAAATATACTTATTGAGCCTCTGGTATGTGTGGCTCTGGGACAGACTGTTCAATTCAGAGCTTTTTGTGAGCAAATTTTTTTAAGAAATTGTGTGTGTGAGGCCCAAATGGCTGGCTGAAACAGGTACATATAGTCCACATCTTATTCTGAGAGCTCTTGCTGAGTCTGGGTGATAGATGTCAGGTATTTTAGTAATCAAAGTAAAGCTCTTTCTTATCAGTTCTCGATTACACTGGAATTAGGTAATTACAAAAGGTGCAATTAATAATCTTGAAAAATGTTTTATGCTGTGAAGAACAATAAAAACCTGAACATCATTCCCACAAAGTATATCCTGTTATATTCTTTTATGAACATTTTTATTTAAACTATGGTGAATAGAAATATTTAAATTTCATCAGACAACTTTTTAAACATGAAGTATGTTCAATGAAACATTAAAATACTATGAATTAAAAAACAAGTTTCTTTTTTTTTGACTTATAATCCTAGCAAAAGTGGAATTCAAAATTTCTTCCTAGTCATTTAGTTGGGGAACTCAATCTGATTTAAAGAAAAATAAAAATATTCAAAGCCATTTTATCCTAAAAGAGATTAAAACAGATATTCAAGAAAACATGGGTGATTCTCTGCTCCATTTGTGAAGTGATATACTACATGAAGTGCAACCCATTTTGATTAATCACAAGATATTAGTAGCTCAGATCTAATCAAAGTTCAAGATTATGATCATATGCAACATGGACTTTTATGTCACTAGATTAACCCTATCAGAACCTCTTATCTTCCCACAATCCAAGATGGTGGAATTAAGCTTAAAAAAACAAACATCAGGTCTTTGGGGTGGGGGGAATATACTAAAAAATAATAAAATAAAATAATCCAGAGTGTGATAGAAATCAAGGAACTAGGTTTTCTGTTTTTAGAAGACAATTTATCTCTATAAAAATGTACAAAATGTATGCTGCTATTTAAATACATATACTTAGAAATAGGAAGACAAGAAACATTGCATAGAAATGAATCTTATTCCTCATTGTTTTTTGGAATGCAATCTCTAGCAATGGAGACTTGGTTTTTTTGAGACATATAAAAGTGTACCAAGAAAATATTGTAGCAGCTACTCTTATATCCAAAGATTTAACAACAAGAACTTTGCACATATGATTGTAGAGCAGGTTCCACAAGCTAGCAAATGCCACTGCATACAGGCTGTCAATAATGACCCTTTCAAAATTAGTAGGTGAATTGGTTCACAAAATTTCCTTTCAATATATTAACTCTTTCCCTTGGCCTACTTTTACTCTGTCTTGTTTAATATTCTGGGAATGTTGCATGGGGACAAAGATTTTCAAAGGCTTTTTGTCATATCCTAATGTAATGCAACTAATTTTATCCTCTATGTTCTGTTGTTCAGTCAAAAGCTATATTCTGCATGGGGTTTCCACTGGGGGAAAGGATGGAGCTCAGAAATCCAGGGGGTTAGTAGCTTAATGTCCAGGGTCAGGGAAACACATTAGGAGGCCATTTTATTGTTACAAAAACGAGAGGGTCATCATTCCTTACAGCTTTGTTTATTTTGGCAGCAACAGCTTAAAACTATTAAACACCATGTCACAACTTTGTATATTTTCCGGAAAAAATATAGTGCTAGTTCAACTTATGACCCATTGAAGACAGATAACAGTAATCTGTCTTCATCAGTATATTCATAAAAAATTTAGGGGAGAAAGCTATCACCGTAACGATCCAGAAAGTCCCACTTGCACCTGGCACACTACAAATACTGCGATTTATCTCTCTCATGCTCTGTGACTTTGAAAATGAAATACCCACTGCCTACTGCTGAGTTGAGGGGATAGGATACCCAATGCTTTTTGGGAAATATCAAGTTCTGAAGCTTGAAATGGATAGATCCAGAAGCAATGATGGGTAACAAAAACAACAAACAAAAAACAAATGACATGGTCCATACCCCCTCTTAATCCCACCCAAAAAATATATACTCTCTCATACATCCTCTTTACTCTTTAAGAGACTATAAGGACACATCTCAGAAAGTATACAAATGAGAGCTTACAAAGGTTCCCAATTATTAAACCCAAGTTCTGTGCAGAAATCATTGCATCACTGCTCGTAATTTCTTCCATACAAATTGGGGGACCCATCTTGAAGTTTAATTGAAGTGTCAAATATGGTCCAGATTTTATAGAAGCAAATAGTGGAGAATAATCTAAGAACATAAAATGTGTACATAAATTAGAATAAACATCTAAGACTCTTTTTTTTTTTTTGGTTAAAAAGAAGCATCTAAAATGGAAAAGAGTGAATCAACACAAAATAGTTGGTTTCTAATAACATTTGAAGTTTGTTGTTTGTCTTTATGCTACCTGTTTGGTTAAATACATACATAGAAGAGTTGGCGAGTGACCTATCATACATTGTTCCCATTGACATTTAAAGCCCAGCACTTTCCACAGCAATCTATACTCTGTACTTGTAAACATAATTCCTTCTTTTCCATTTTTTCTGTGTCATTCTAGACTAGGAGTCCAGGTTATTATAACAACCTCCTAAGAAGTGGTGAGAAACCTTTACACATGTACAACAGTTCAGAAAAAATAAAAGTATGTGCTGATGAAAAGCTTTTCGAAGATGCAATCTATTTGTATCAGGACACCTAATGTCTGTGATAGTGGTTAGCAAGTTTTAAAAAAAATATTCCTGATTAGTGAAGATTTTTGTGTGTGTGAGTCAAAATTTTGAGTCAAAATTTCAGAAACTACGCAGCTGATGTGCATGGCAATATTTGGTTATAATAGTGACCTTTTGAATAAACCGTTGTTGAGCAAATGACTTTTGATGTTGCTCTGCTTCCCTTTTCCTTGAATTACTTTGGAAGCCACTTAACTGGAAAATGGAATTTGCCTCACAGTGCTTCTTAGAACTGTGTTCTTGAAATGCTCTCTATTTCTCCACTCTTCCTTGGCTCCAATGTGAGCATGAGGATCCCTAAAATGTTCCCACAACTCTTGACAACTGCGAATTAACATGCTCTTCAGGATACGGGGAAGAGGGGACATCTTTGCAAGGCTATGGGTGAAAGACCCTGAAAGAGGAGGAGTGGGTGGAGGCCTGGCTACACTGGGCTGCCAGTACCCTCAGTGAGATCCCAGTTGGGTTCAAGGAAGCGCAGAACCACATGCATTACTTTGCTGGGAAGCCAGAAGGAAGTTACAGCCAACTGGGGGCACTGCAGTCATGGATGCAAAGGTGGAGGGCCACGTGGAAAGCCAGGCGGCACTCTGGGACAACAGAGACAACCAACCTGGACATCTGCACAACAGGATTCACCAGATCAACAGAAAGGAAGGGGAAGGGAGAATCCTACATCTCATTTAGTATCTATGAAAAATGAGAGTAGGTTTTAAACTAGAAGTGATTGAGCAACTTTTCACTGAAAATATTCAGTGTTTTCTGCCATCAGCAGATATAGGGGCTCATGAGAAATTTGAATTCAGTTACAGAGAAAGAAAGTCACATTTCTGCACATCTGACGCTTACTGGGAAATTTTAAGTCCAGTTCTCTAGCTACGTCAACCTTCAGTTTCATCTGAAAATGGGAATCACACTCTATACCTTAAGAGGTTAACCATTTGGGCTAGATTATTTGAAAGTAGCTGGTACACAGAACTGGATTAGTTTTCCCGGTTATTCATACATTGTAGGCAATTGCACCTCAGTGGTTTTGCCCGCCCATTCTCTGCCTGAATGATTTCATTGGTCAACCCTCCCTGCACCTCTCTACCTTTGACAGAGTTGCTCAGATGACAGGGAAGCACCTCCCCATCCTTTGAATTATTGGCTAAGTGAAGGTAAGTGCCCAGATACATATGGATGCAGTAACTTTAAGTGAGCAGGCAAAAAGCTGAAGATAACAATAAGGCTATCACAGAGCCACTTCGACTCCAAGGACCCTGGTGGACTGAGCTGATGGTTTCCATGGGTTGCATCAGTGAGGAAGGGTGGGGAGAAGCAATGACTTCCCTGGGCCCTTACCACAGAGACAGCAGGGGGTGCTGTGTGACACAAAGCCCATCAAATTTACTTTCCAGAGCAATTTGGTCACAATATTCTTTTAAGTGAATAAGTGGTTAAATAACCACAGACCCATACCATATTTCTCTTTTCCTTAAGTTATGTGAATATAAATGCAAAGAGAAATGCCTACTATATTTTACTATAGTAATGGTTGTTACTTCTGGGTAGTGAGATGCTGATAACTTCTAATTTGCCCCACATGAATATAGCGCTTTTGAAGAGTGCTTCTCATTTATTTTGTAGAATGTACTTCAATTTGGGCTGTTTGATGTTTTCTCATGATTAGATTGAGGTTGTAACATTTTGGGAAACAGAAGTGATATGCCCTTCTCAGTGCATTGTTGTTCTTGAAATTTCAAGAAAATGCTATTTTAGTGCTAAAATGAAAGCCACGTACAGAAGGCACTGTCTTCTAAAAAGTAGAGGATGGCAAAAAAAAAAAAATACACCCTACAAATGAATCAAAGGCTGGTTCTAAAAATGAGCGCAACAGTCTTACGGCGGTGAGTGGAGAAACTGCCTGGGATTTACCATACGGACAAGCAGACCCACACCACCCACACTGTGAAAATGAAGAGCAGACACTGGGGATCTGACTATATAACTGTACAAGTATGGACACAAGGTGTCACCAGGATGCCCCATTACTTCCATCGGGGTTTAGGGGACATGCTAATGAGGCAGGCAGAGTTGGTTTCTCTGACATCCATGGGAGGGAGGGGTGCTCTTCACAACTGGGGGTGCAGCTGCCAGACTGTG